CATTTGGCATCATTGCATAGGTTTCATGAGTCTGATGAGGACTTTATAGATCAGTATCAGACATATGGACTAATATTGGACTTATGCACTTGATCTGGACTGGGCTGGGATGTTTTCTCAATGTTCAATTGCTTTTATATATAAAGCTCTTTCTTATACACATGTGAGTATCTATGAATTTGTCTCTCTAGTCTACCCGGACTAACACAGTCGCTGTGGGTCAGAGCTGATTAAATGGCACCACCACCACCACCACCACATTTTAACCTGTGCAAAAAATAGACGGCTCTTACAGAATGACAGTGAATTATCATGCAGGAAACCAGGTGGTGACTCCAACTGATCCTGCCATTTCAGATGTGTTTTCATTTTTTAAGCAAATTAATTTCTCTGATACCTGTTATATAGCTTTTAATCTAGCCAATACCTCTTTCTCAATTCCAATTTTAAAAGATCACTAGATACAATCTTCCTTCAGTAGACAAGACCAGCAATATATCTGCACTGTCCTACATTAGACGTATATCAACTCTCCAGCTGTTCGTAATAGTTTATTTCCCAGACCTTGATCATCTGTCCCTTCCACAAGATATCACATTGGCCATTACATTGATGACATTATGCTGATTGGATTGTATAAGAAAGAACTATCCATGGTTCTACAGATATTGGTAAGACACTTGTGTGCTAGAGAATGGGAAATTCCTCTGCTAAAAAATTCAGGTGCCTTACAATTCAGTGAAAATGTTAGGGGTCCAGTTGTGTGGAGCATGTCAAGATATTCCTTCTAAAGTGAACATACTTTATTTCATTTCACGACTGAAAAGGAGATACAACACCTCTTTGGATTTTGGAGGCAACATGTCATGTATGTGGGTATACTGCTTCAGTCTATTTGAAAGCAAATAGAAAGCAAACACAAAGCTGCTAGTCTTGAATAGTGTCTGGAACAGGAGAAGGGTCTACGACAGGTTCAGGTTGTATGCAAACCGGTCTGCTACTTGGGCCATATAATTCAACTTATCCAATTGTACTTGAAGGGGCAGTTGCAGTGACAGATAGAGGTGCTGCTTATAGCCTTTGTAAAGACATTATTGATGATTCATAGCACAGGAGCAAAGCCCTACAATCCTCCCCTCCCTGCTTTTGGTTAGGAAACAGCTGCTGGCTTATTACTGGACCTTATTAGAAACTTAATTAGAAGCCACCGGGATCCATATGGCCTGAGCTGCCTACCACGAACTACACGTTATCTGGCCCACAAAGCCATAAAGTTGGGTTTGCATAGTAGTACCCCATCATTAAACAAATGTGCCACGAACAAGAGCAGGCTTGAGCAGGACTGGAATGTTCAATTAGGTTACATGATGAATTGCCCCAAATTTCCAGAGTCTTCATTTCTGATACATTACCTTCCCTCTCAATCATACCTATGGCCTTTTGGGGAGTTCCTTAGGTTCAGTTGATTGAGGAAGAAAAAACTCGGGCCCTGTTTACAGATGGTTCTGCATGATAGGCGTTCGTGACTCAAAACTCGAATGCAATCGCTTTCTGGTAACTCCCTGAAGGACAGTGGCAAAGAGAGCTATTCCTAGTGATCAGAAATTTGAGTATATATGCTTATTCAAGTTGCTTGGAAGGAATAATTAGCCAGATATGTGATTGTATACTGACTCATGGGCTGTGGCCAGTGGTTTGACTAGATGAATAGGCAGGGACTTGGAATATGATTGGAAAATTGACAAGAGGGAGTGAAGAAGAGGTATGTGGATAGACTTTTATTAATGGACCAAAGGAGTGAAGGTATTTGTGTCTCATATGAATGATTAGCAAAGGGTTACCTCTGCAGAAGGAGATTTTAACAATCCGTTGGGTGGGATGGCACGTTCTGTGAAAACAAGTCATCCTTTTCCCCCAGTGACTCTTGCAATGTTCCAATGGGTGCCTAGACAAAGTAGACCTGGTGACAGAGACGGAGATATTACGCATGAGCTGAACAACATGGACTTCCACTCATCAAGGCCAATTGACTACAGTCACTGCTGAACTGTCAACTGTCCAATCTACCAGTAGAAGAGATAGACACTGAGTCGTCAAGATGGAACAACTCAGCCAGAAACCTGGGGGTAAGTTGATTACATTGGATCACTTTCACCAAGGAAAGGTCAGTATTTTTTCTTACTGGAATATATCCTTACTCTGGATATATGATTAGTATTTCCATTTAGCAATGCTCTGCCAAAACTGCCTGTGTTAGTCTAGGTAGACTAGAGAAACAAATCCAGGGAGACTCATATGTGTATAAGAAAGGTGTATATACAAGAGCAGTTGAATCTTAAGAAAATATCCCAGTCCAGTCCAGATCAAGTCCATAAGTCCAATATTAGCCCATGTGTCTGATACCAATCTATGAAGTCCTCTTCAGACTCACAAAACACATGCAATGACACTGAATGCAGGAAGATCACAGTCCAGTGGGTGCAAAGTCAGTGGCAGTAGAAGCATCTAAGTGCTGGCAGGGGTCTCCATGTCGCTCCTTCAGTCCCATGGCTGCATCAGGGTAGGTCCACGTGGTTTCTCCTCAGGGATGTCTCACAGGAAGTAAGCAGAGAGAGAGTCTCTCCTGCCTCCAAGGAAGAAATTCAGAAAATTTCCAGAGAGCTTTCCCATAATGCTTATATGTTTATATATATATATATATATATATATATATATATATATATGTGTGTGTGTGTGTGTGTGTGTATGTGTATGTGTATATATGTGTGTGTGTGTGTGTATGTGTATGTGTATATATGTGTGTGTGTGTATATATATATATATATCGGGTGCTGGCCAAACCCTGAGGCAGCTTTGTTTCAACTGATTGACTTCTCATAGCATATTTCATCACAGGGATGATTACTTTATATCCAATTTTATCATGGAAGTGAAAATATTATTATCAGATCACAAAATGGAAGAAGACTGTATCATTATATAACTGCCAAATTATAATTGCCAAGTGACTGAGAATTACTGCCAACCAAATTGTCTTACAACTTTATCCATCACTGTCTACCTTTTGTCAACTTGACACCTGAACACATCTCCTTAAACCACAATCTCTAAATAAAAATGACCATATTTTCAAACATGATACACACTCACGTGCATATAATGGAAAATGTATTATACATTAGCCCCATCCATTTCATATTTTATAAGAAAACAAAAAATATTTGATACCATATACAAGGAAGAAATGCTTATTACGTACAATTAGAGTCTTCATTTATGCAAGTGATCCCACCATCATAGTATTGGAAATACCTTCTTCTATTACCCATTCATATTCTGTTTAACCTCAGCAAATGCCTCATCTGGGTGTAGTTTTGTTCACAGTAAGGTGACTCAAACATTTCTTCCTGGAGGGCCTGTGCCATTAGTAGTCATGTCAGTGTTGTGTTGCTGTAGTTTTCCATTGGTTTTCATCACAGGGCATGGTATTACTAAAAGATGTCTTTAAGGATCTCTTACATTCCTACAGGACTCTTCTCTACTTCCATTATGTAATATCATTCTGATTTCCCCTTCTTCACTTGTTGATCCAGAGGCATGAACAGCCCAACTTGTTCTAGTGGCATTTTTCCCCCCTAGTGACATTCTTAACTTTCAGTTCAATAGAATCTGGTGCTATTTCCCAGTGGGAGCATTTTTCCATTTGTAACAAAGACTTCCAGACACTGAAAGCATAAGGTAACAGGCACAAGAAACAGAAATTTGTGGGTGGATCACTAGAGATAATATAGAGTAGTGCCATTCTCATCTACTAATTGATTCCTGGGGCTGTGAATTCTGCCTTTTGAAGATATAGCATCATACATTAGCCACTGATTTAGAGCATATACAGTTTCCTCAAGAACCTTTCATCAACACTGCAAAGTATTGCCACCTAGCTGGCACTCTGTGTCTTTAGATAACTATTCCATTGTTCTATCAACCCAACTGTTTCAGGATGGTGGTAACATGGTAAGGTGAGTGAATTCCATGAGCATATGCCTATTGCTGCAATGCAATTGCTGTGATAAATTACAGGGTTGTGTGGGTTACCATGATGGTAAATAAGGCATTGTGGTAGTTACATAATCTGGTGTCAATGTGGGACTTGAGAGGATTAAGAGTGAAGGGGTGGAGTCTAGTCTGCCAATCAGATCATAGCCAATGAAGCTTTGGTGTGGGCATGGCCTCCTGAGAATTCTGGGAATTCCCTGCATTTTCTCCTTAAAATACCAAGGAGAAAACAACAGACCCACAGTTTTTGTGGAGGGGGGGGACATGGGAGAGGAGGAGGTAGGGGGAAGGAAGTGGGGAGCAAATAAAATCAGGGACAAGAGTACAACAAAGGACCTAATATCGATGGTGATGAGGATGTAGAATGCCTGGTGGGGTTTGATCAAGTGCAATGTAGCCAAGAGGAATTACTGAAAGTCAAATGAAGTTGAAATATGATACGAGGACAGGAGGAAAATATAAGGAAATAGAGGAAACCAGAAATCAAATGCCATTTATAAAGGTACAAATATAGACACGTGTATATGTAAATATAATGACAGGGATAATGGTCTATATACATATATTTATATGTTAAGTATTAAGGTAGTGGATGGACATTTGGCCTCTACTCAAGTACTCCCTCAACACAAGAATACTTTGTTCTAACAACCTGGCATTCTGTGATACTCACTTTCCCAACACGATCGCTGAAGACAAAATGGGTGCATAAGCAAATGTGGTGAAAAATCTAATGATGCCCAGCGATTAAATTATATAGCAGTTGGGGTCTTAAAGGCTTGAAGTGATGATGGTAACATAGGTACAAATGTGCTTAACATAATGGATATATGTATAGAATGTGATAACAGCTGTAAGAGCCCCCAATAAAATGTTTAAAGAAAAGACTGGGTCATTTGGCTGATTCATGCAAGACAAGAGTGAGAAATAAGAAGGATAATTTATGATTGAGATCATTAAGTATTTTATTTATTAAAGAGTTAAAAATAGTACTCATACATTTACAAAACCTTATTTGATATAGAAATAACATCAGAATTGTTCTGAATGGGATTATCAACTAACCTATCAGTGGTACGGGTGCTGCTGAGCTCCTCAAAGACTACATAAACCAAAGGCTAAGAGGTTGATTGAAGTCAAAATATGAATCACTGGATTGTCTTTTTTAAGGAAAGACTAAGACTAAGTCAGCAAAATCCTTTAATAAGAAAATCTAGGGTGGGGGAAGGGTGGGAAAAATAGGAGCTGATACCAAAGGCTCAAATAGAAATGTTTTGGAAATGTTGATAGCAATATATGTACAAGCGTGCTTACTACAATTGAGTCGTGGAGTGTTACAAGATTGGTAAGAACTCCCCAATAAGATGATTAATAAAAATAAAAACACAGCACATCTAAAGGAAAGCTTCCCCTTTGGGGGAAAGGATATGCTGTTACTCTTCTAGTCCAGGGTCCCACTCAAAAGCAAGCAGGGTGATGGCAGTGATCAATGAGTTGTTTGTATCCCAACAACCCTCTGGCATGAGTGTCGCCCCGTGAGCAGTATGGGTGCTGCTGTGAAAGCTGATATCTGATTGGCTTGCTGCTCAAGAAGGGAATGCCTGACCAAGAATACCCTCATTTCTGGTTTAATGAGACCGGGACCGAACTGGGGTTAGATGCGATGAGCACAAAAATCCTATTCCAGGAGATGATCACGGAGGGCTTCATGCTGCAAATGGATTTGCATTTCCAGAGATTCAAGTTTCTGCAACACAGGGTAGTTGCAGGTCACAGCCCTAGGATCTGGCTGGTTTTATCGATCTGGCAGTTCAAGGTCAGCGCAAAGGCCATCCCCAACACCTGCGAAGAGAATTGGGAAAATGTGAGGTTTGTCTAGAAGGAGATAGCTTTTCACAATCCCTGGAATTGGCTCTAGGGAGGAAGAAACTCTCTATCATACGGTGACCCTCCTTCCCTCTATTACTTCAACTGCTCTTTCGGAATTTCTCTTTTTGTGCTTGAGGATGGACAGAGAGTAAAAACTATCTCTGAACTTCCTAATTAAAATTTAGCTAACCCGTGCTCTACATAGGTAGAAAAAAAATGATCAAAACATCACATATTTTAAAAGGACATAAGACTTCCCCTAATTGATCCAGACTTGCCAAATGAAACAGACTGATTATCATTTTCATTATCACTGTGTACATAGCATGCAAGGTCACTCTTTTCAAGTGGAGTGTTTAATTGATCATAGGCTCTTTCCAGGCCAGCTGAGTGAAAAGCCAGAGTGGGGCCCTGTTTGGGGACTTTTAGTTTGACTACGAAGTCCTTAGATCTCTGAGGGCTATATTGAGTAGATGTATCTTCTTGTGAAAAGTTTCTGTAAATCAAAGTGTAATAATATCATTTGCTGCTTGACTGGATGGAACTCCTATACTAAAAAGAATAGCAAACAGTTACTGAGCACATACTGCATGCTTGGCACTACTTTAAAACTACATCCACAAAACTCCTGTGTCTAAGCTCTTACCTGGACCATACATACGCAGATAATGATGATTCCAATATACAGGAAATTGGAGTGAAACCACAGTTTTACTTGCATATAGCAACCCTAGGAAAAAAATTACAGATTAAAAATGATACTACTATGATTATCCAACCTATCAGGAGGTTTAGGGAGCCTTTTGCAGTAATGCTTACATGTTGAACTGCTAAACCAAAGGTCAGCAGTTCAGAACCACCAGTAGCTGCTACATGGAAGAAAGATGAAGTTTTCTATTCCCATCAAAAGTTACAGTCTCAGACATTGGGCTTCTACTCAAGACCTCCCTCAATGCAAGAACACTTTGTTCTAATAACCTGGCATTCTGTGATGCTCATCTTCCTGACACGATCGCTGAAAACAAAATGGGTGCATAAGCTAATGTGGTGAAGAAAGCTGATGGTGCCTGGTTATTACAAGGTATAGCATCTGGGATCTTAAAGGCTTGAAGTTAAACAAGCAGCCATCTAGCAGGGAAGCAACAGAGTCCACATGGACGAAGCACCCCAGCCTGTGTGTTGACAGGTGTTGACAGGATCAGGGACCAGGCATCAGGCACCAGAAGACCCAGACAATCATATCTGTGTGAACAAGGGGGATCAGAATGGAGACCCAAAGCCCATCTGTGGACAACTGCACATCCCCTCACAGAAGGGTCATTAAGGAAGGGATGACCCAGCCAGGATGCAGTGTGGCACCGATGAAACACACATTCCTCTAGTCCTTTAATGCTTCCTCACCACTCCCACCCCGCCCACTATCATGACCCCAGTTCTACCTTACAAATCCGACTAGACTGGAGCATATACACTGTACAGATAAGAGTTCTCAACATACAGTATCCAGGACAGATAAACCCGTCAGGACCAATAATGAGAGTAGCAATACCATGAGGATAAGGGGCAGGTGGGAGGAGACGGGGGAGAAAGGGGAACTGATCACAACGATTGATGTATAACCATGACACCTCCCCCCACACCCCAGGGTGATGAACAACAAAAACGTGGGAGAAGGGAGACAGTGGATGGTGTAAAATATGAAAATAAAAATAATTTATAAATTATCAAGGATTCTTGGGGGGGGGGGGGGCGGAAGGAGTTGATACCAAGGGCTCAAGTAGAAAGAAAATGTTTTGGAAACGATGATGGCAACAAATGTACACATGTGCTTGATACAATTGGTGTATGGATTGTTATAAGAGCTGTAAGAGCCCCCAGTAAATTTTTTTTTTAAAAAAGGTTACAATCTCAGAAACCCACAGGGGCTTTTAGTTTGTTCTGTAGGGTCATTCTGAGCTGGAATTGACTCGGTGGCAGTGAGTGTTTTGGAACATCAAGAAATTTAGGCCAATTGTATTTTATCTTATTGAATGGATGGAGAATGTAAAGCATATCAAGGTATAATGTAAAGCATATCAAACAAGATCATTGTTTTGGTATTGCTATCACTAGAGTGGTGCAATAATGCACACATTTTAAATTGTTCTCCACTGAGTTAAATTGGCTCTCAAGAAGCATATCAGCAGGTCTTCTGTTCTTTGAACACTCAGTGCTGACCATGAGAATTATGGACTAGGATTGATTGACATTTCGGCTTCTGGTTCAAATAGCCAAGTAAGCCCATGGTAAACCTACCAAGCTAGAGGGCTAGATGGTGGGTGCCTTAATCCTCTGCTACAGATGTAAAAAATTCTGGAGACTTCCAAACAATCCCAGATAAGGTGGTATAGGGTAGGCAAAGAACCTTAAGGATTGGCTGTAGGTGAAAGATAATTTGTCCCCGAGTCTGTTATGGAAATCCAAACTAACAGGGCAGCTGTCTCATCTCTTTCCGTCTTCACTTGGAAGTTATGATCGATTTCACGAAGAGGCAAGACCCTGTCCTCTTCAGAGAAAAGCCAAAAATCGAGTAGTGGTAGAACCTGTTCTTCAACCCAACAAATTTCACTTTCACCCATGAGACTTCCCTCTTGCTCAAGAAAATGTCACCATTTTCACCCAAACTTTCTTACTACAATGTAATAATATTTGAGGGTAACAAGATTTTTCACAGTGTTTCTAGATTACATTGAAGTTTTCTATCTTGTCTTTCTTTGATTCAAAGTTCACTGTTTCTATATGGGAGGTCTAGGGTCTGCATGATCGACATTTCTAAATGTTTCATCCAAGAGACTAATAAGATGCCAGGGGAGGGGCATTACCTTCGTTTGTGGATCTGAGGGGCAAGATTCTGGTACGCTGCCGGTCCAGTCACTAGTGCCATTTACACCACAACACTGTAGCTGAAAGCCAAACCCAAAGACAGGATTGTTAGAAAGCTAGCAGAAAGAAAACCCAGGGCTTTGAGCAGAAAGATGGTCCCTTCAGATTCCACTCTAAATGAGAAAATCCAGACGTGCCCCGACCACTAGGGGCGCACGTGTGCCGTTTCATTCTCATGACGAACCCTGTGAAGCACAGAGTGCATGCTGAATTTATGTTTCCATTTTACACGTCAGGAAATGGGCACCCAAGGGACTTTACAGTGGGGAGAGCCAGCTGACCACACCTCAACCCACTGAGCAATCTTAAAATTGTTAAAAGCAAGAACATCAGATACCTTACGTGGTTGCTCATGGACGCAGTAGGAAACATCACTTATGTGGCAGGCTTGGAGAAAAACTGAGCCTGCATCACTCTTCTAGATTTACTGGGTTAATGGGAGATCAATCCCCATGACACCATAATATCCTGAGGAAGTAACTAGCCAGCTAAAGGGAAATGTTATAGCACAGGTCACCTAATTTCTTTCCATGAATAAATAGCATGAGCAGAGACGAAAGTGATGAGAGACTAAGACAATGAAAAGACATAACCTCCAAACGTAACCGGTGAACCTTGTTTGGGTCTTGATTGGAAAAAGTCAAGTGAAAATATTTTCAGGAGATGAGGGAAGTTGGATTATAGATAATTAGTTAGTTGATGTTAGGGAATAATTGTGCATATTAAGTGTGATAAAGAAATAGTCCATTTTGACAATTGGGACCTTACAAGACAGGAGAACGGCGCCCGAGGGTCTCCTTGGCCGTCACCTTAAGCAGTCTGACTCGTCCTCCTCCCACGGAGCAGCTGTGAGTTCCAACTGCCGGCCTTGTGGTTAACAACCAAGTGCTGAACCACTTCACTACTGTGAATGTCTAAACAGTGATTTGTACATAGAGATCATTTTGATATTTAAAATTGTTTGTATATGCTTGAAAATCCCATAATAAAAAACTTTAGATACTTGTTATTATGAGAGGGGAAAAAAGGAATTGGTGATCGAGAGAGATTGACTTGCTCAAAGTTGCTTCATTTTAGTTTCTGAACTCTAATCCCTGTGCTATTTCTCCTAATCCCTAGTAAAAAAGCACGTAGGGCCATGGGCATGGTCTCAAGTGGCCACAGTGCTAATATGTGAGACACAGAGTGGGTCGGTCAATGTCAGGCTAGCTCCATCCTCTCCATCGTTCTCCTCCATCACCAATCACTAACAAGGCCGGTAAACGTGCATGTCGGTGAGTGTGGAGTGGGCAAGAGGAACATACCTGGTTGGGGTCACTCAGGGATTCAATAGGGTTTCAGCATTATTATATAATACAATTCCTGACTACAGTAGAATTTTGTAAAAATATAAATGAATCCAGTGTACAGGAGCAGATAGTATCACTATTCTCCTGTAGAGCAGCTGGTACATTTGAACTGCCGACCTCGTGGTTAGCAGTCCAACACTTAGCTCATGGTTCCATCAGGAGTCCTTTAAATTCTAATGGGGCTTAAAATTTGATGGAGGGCGAAAGACAGAGAATGGAAAATTTTGTATCCGATTGATTCCTGTGCTCTACTGTTTGTAATGATATGGCGTTATTTGGACTTCAGGGATACGGATCTTAGATTCTGAAACTTTCAAGAAAAGAAGGACTAAATTCAGGAGGATGTTACCTATACTCACAAATGACTGGAGAGAATCCCAGGCGGCCTTGGTGCTGTTGGACTGGTGGTAGTTCTTGATGCTGTAACTCAGGCCCTCAGACACATACTCACTCAGCTGAGCAGGTGCATGCCAACAGTGGAGACATTGTAAAAAAGAGATGCGTTCAAGGAATAAGTAATTTTTAGGACTCAAATGTTAAGTTTATCATAGACTACTGGTTCAAATCATTCCTTTCCAAATTATCCCCTAGAGCTAAGGAAGTGGGGAGATTGAGTGCATACATGGAGAGATGAACTGGGGGTGAAATGGCATTGGAGAATGAAGTACCCTTTCCATAACAGGAGAAAAGGAGGCCCTCAAAACATGGGCACTCCCACATGGAAAAAGCACACCAGCCTGTGTGATCATGACGTGTCCATAGGATCAGGTATCAGGCATCAAACACCCAGAACAAAAACCACATCATTGTGAATGAGGGGGAGTGTGGAGTGAAGATCCAAAGCGCATCTGTAGGCAATTGGACATCCCCTTACAGAAGGGTCACGGGGAGAAGGTGAGCCAGTCGGTGCAGTATAGCACCGATGAAACATACAACTTTCCTCTAGTTCTTTAATGCTTCCTCCCACCCCACTATCATGACCCCAATTCTACCTTACAAATATGGCTAGACCAGAGCATGTACACAGGTACAGATAAGGGCTGGAAGCACAGGGAATCCAGGACAGATAAAACCCCCAGGACCAATAATGAGAGTAGCCATACCAGGAGGGTAAGGGGAAGATAGGGGAGAAAGGGGGAACCGACCACAATGATCTATATATAACCCCCTCCTAGAGGGATGGACAACAGAAAAGTGGGTGAAGTGAGACATCGGTCAGTGTAAGATACACACAAAAAATTTTATCAAGAGTTCATGAGGAAGGAAGGTGGGGAAGGGAGGGGGAAAATGAGAAATTGATACCAAGGGCTCAAGTAGAAAGAAAATGTTTTGAAAATGATGGCAACAAATGTACAAATGTGCTTGACACATTGGATAGATGAATTGTGATAAGAGATGTAAGGGTCCCCAATAAAATGATTAAAAAAACAAAACCACACCTGGGCACTCTTGAAGCACTGAGAATGACATTTTCTCTGCCAAGCAGGTAGAAATATCAGTGGTTACAGAATGCTAAATTGGTCGTCACTCCTTCTTCCAGTCATGCTTCAAGGCACTACTCAAGTACAATTCCTTGATAAGTGTTTCCCCCTCCACATTACAGTTCATCTCTATACTTCTTCATACGTTCCTCCTCTATTCTAGGACTTATTTTGTGATTTTTCCTCCTCTCGCATCCAGTCCCCCTCCCTCTGAGCAATGGCACAATTAGGTGTGCTCTGTGTACATACCTTCTTTTCATACATGAAGAGCAGAATAGACAGGGTCACCTCCGCAAGGAGTATGATCAGCAGCAAGCCGAAGAACTGTGGTGAAACAGAGACACGCTCACATCACGGGCCCAGGCTCGCCTGGGAGCCACTCGGGCACGGGGTTCTGATCCTGCCTGCTCAGGCCCTTGTAAATCTTGGCTGGTTTTCTGAGATCTTTCCCCTCCCTTAGAACTTGAAACCAAGCCTCTAACAGTCAGATCCTATCGATTGTACCTAATACAAGCAAAATAGATGGTGGCATTTGTTTGGGGCTACTAGCCATGAGGTCAGCAGTTTGAAACCACCAGCTGTTCTGCAAGAGAAAGATGAGGATTTCTACGTCCATAGTCACAGTTTCAGAAGTCCAAGAAGCAGTTTTATAGGGTCACTATGGATAGGAATCAACTTGAAGGCAGTGAGATTTTGGTTTATTGTGTCTAACAGAGCATCAGGCACGCAAGACATATCTAACACCATCTATCGAATAAAAACAGTGAAGAAGTTTTGGTGTAAGCCTATGGAAATAGGCAAGCAAAAGGTCAGAAACCTGAACCATGAGCCTTTAGAGCTTGGGGCTGGGTCCTTTCTAAGAGACTGGGGGTTATCATGGGGCAGGTGCTGGTAGAGGCTGAGAAAATCTTTACTCAGATGGGCCTGAGATCTCGAATCATGGTCTGATTCATATTTGTCCTCAACTTTGGGTGTTTCCCCCCTTTTGTGATAATAATATATAACAGAAAACGCATTTTCACATATTCACTCTCCATCACCTCTTTTATCCCGACTGGTTTTAACTACTTCAAACCCGTCCTCTTTTTCTTTTATCTCCTACCTTTTACCATGAGTCTAAAACTTGTGAGAAAATACGTTTTTCTTATTCTCCCTCATCTCCAGTTTGACAGTTGCCTCATGGGAAAGAAAATTTTTGAAAAATGATTAAGAAAGAGTCAAAGTGGGAACTCACAACTACAAATAAAGTGGCAGCTTTGCTTTGGACTCACTGGAGAAATGAGTAACGTATTGCTATAGGTTATGGGAGTGTCCTTTGGCCTGTCTGTAGGTCCACAGCGCTCAGCAAAGAAAGTCTACAGATTTTCCACCGGAGTTACTGACTTTGAGTCAGCTCCTGAAAATAAGAACGAATTGGAAGGCGGACTTAGGTCACCTGGAGGACCCAATCTCAGCCAGACATGGAGAAGAAATAAAATGTCACAAAAAGAAATGATAAGAATAGCAAGGGTCATCATCAATAGTGTAAGAGGGATACTGAAAAGGATAGTAATATTTTCCCACTTACCCCTGTGGTTCCAGTCAGAAATAAAATTACTGTTGATCTGCACCAACTTGGGTGCCTGAGATAGCAATCTTATGTTCTTATCATTTCCCCGGGCCTATAGGTAAGCTACCCTTGTGTATGTGGGACTTAGGACAGCACTGTTCTCCAAGTCAGAAACCACATTTGCCAGTACAGACTCACCGACATAAGCAGGCACTTGTTTTCCTTGATGGAGCCCATGCAGCCCATGAAGGCAACCACCACGATGATGGAGCCCACGATGATGAGCACATTGCCCAGCGTGAGGAAAGGGTGGTTCCAGAAGAGCACCCCGAATTTGTTGTGAACCAGGAAGTAGATCCCAAATCCCAAAATGCAGCAGCCACAGAACTGAAAAGAAGAATTCCACAACATTCTGAGGAAAGCGATTGTTATTGTTTTTAATATCTTTTCTTTTTTTTCACTTGCTTTAAATCCTTTTATCCTTTGACATCATTTAGACTTCCATGAACAACCTACTTATTCAGCTTCCTATGCTCCTACGGAGGCAATGCCGTTTTCTTTCTATGGGGTCCCACTCATTTCCAAATACCAGGGACGCCTCAGTGTTCTGAATCACACAGTATCTTCACTTGCAGGTCTACCTTTAGGCTTCAGATTTCCTACTCCTGGCTTCCTCAACTGCTCGCACGCCCTTCCCTTTGGAAATTATGACCATGTAGCGGGGCTACCCTCCTTCAGTAGTTCATCTTGTTAGACAGTCCACAAGAGAATCTAAACTTATGAGAATCTTCTCATAGACAAGTGAGTAGAAATCAACCCTGTGTCTGAAATTTAGTTGCTGAATATGACACATTAGTTGCTGAATAAATTTAGTTGCTGAATAAGAACCCCATTAGGAAGAGTGATTTCCATAAAAAATTTTTAAGGCATAGTTAGATACAAACTGTGGAGTTTCAGGTTTCCCACTGTAAGAGTGAATGATATCAGCCAAAAGTCACAGGAGAGGAATGGCTCCCTCTTTAATAATGACTCTGGTGTCTTTAAATTTTGCAGTTATACTGTAGCAAGACAGGATGTGGGCAAGAAATTATTACGATTTTGCTCCTTAGCTGGATATGCTACCTGTGACCCAAACATGCGTTCCACTTCATACCAGGCTGCTCAGTAGAGAGGGGTAGAGCTAAGTTGGGGAATGGTGAGCTCAGCCATTCTCAGAAGAGGTGCACTTACCCAAAAGAATAAGTTGAAGGAAAACAGGATGTATTTCAGCAATTTCAAGCTACTCATTCCCATGCTGGATAGTTGTTTTTTTCCCCCTGAAAATTACAAAGAAGTGAGAAAATAAGTAACCTGACTCTGCAAGGTGACATGGGAGGTCAGAGTACACACATGTTCAAGGCTCAAGGGTCTTCAGAATCATCTGCTGTGGAAAGTTTCCCCAAACTCACTGCTTTTCATCTGTGTGGTGAGATATCAAGTGTCTCATGCTGGACACTTAACATTTGAAAACGATGCTTAACATCAACTAAAACACAGTGGAAGAGAGCAATCGAGGCACGCTTGGACAGGGGTGATTCGCACACCAAAGACAGCAAGAGCTTAGGGGGTCCATACACAACACCAATGACTCAAAAAACCAAACCCACTGCTATCAAGTCAATACTGACTCATAGTGCCCCTATAGGACAAGGCATAACTGCCCCATGTGAGTTTCCATGACAGTAGCTGTTTATGGATTTGTAAAACCCCATCTGGAGCTGCCAACCTTTAGGATCACAGGCCAATGTATAAACTCTACACCACCAGGGCTCCTGCATCAATGACTAGTGCCTGAGTAATTACTGAGAAAAGTAGCCTCTATGGTCAAATGCGATGAAATTCCTATATCCAAATACCCTGAAATGCATACTTACCACATCTAGTCAATAACCTCTCTTCTGTTAACATGAAAATATATGGAACATAGCAAAGCTTCATTCACTTTTACTGTAGAGATATTCGTGGATTCTTTTACTGTAGATATATTCGTGGTGTTTCCTGTGCTAGATGTTGTGATAGATGCAACTATGACTAAGCTGATAATCTCAGAGCTGATATACAAAACAGGCCAACAATCGTAACAAAGAGGAAGTGCTGAAATCCTGATGGAGACTGAGCATGATAGTGGGACAGGAGGAGAACCAAGGGAAATAGAGGAAAGAGCTGGGAGGAAAAGGGCATTTATAGAGGTCTAGAAAAAGACATGTACATATGCAAATATATTTATATGAGGATGGGGAAATAGATCTATGAGCCTACGTTT